GAAAAAAGTATCCTATGAAATCAGAATTAACATACAGAATAACAATGTCTATCACGCACAGTGGAAAAAAGAAGAGACACGCGCACACACACAAAATGTCAAGATAAAGCTGTAAAAAAAGGAGTGTGGAACTTTGTTTTCCTTGGTGCTGTCCAAGGTTCTGAAAGGTCAGGTAAGGTAAATTGTGCTATTTAATATAAATAACTGTCTCATACAAAGTGCAACTAATGACCAGAATTTATCTGATGTTGACTGTAACATGAAAATATTATCATTAATGGCGCAATGCACTTTTCCATTTTCAGCGTAGTCCGCATCTTCCACGTTTATCATTGTCACTACAGTGTTAAGTTTTGCGTCTTCCGATATAACATTTGATTTCGACATAATATGAATATCAGGGCGGTTGTCATTCATGTCCAATACGTCAACTATCAGTTTACAAGAACCAGTTAATCCCCCATCATCACTAGCACGAATATTTACCTGAAAATTTCTGGCCTTCTCGTAGTCAGCTTTTCCTTTCAAAGTGACATCACCACTTTCCTTATTTATTTCAAACATTCCCCTGGCATGATCTAGCATGTTTGAAATTGAATAAGTTATTCTGCTATTAGATCCGTGATCTGCATCGGTTGCAGTAACTGTCACTACAACTGTTCCTACTGGTGAATTTTCCTTAATGGACGCTTTATAAACCGACTGTGTAAAAACAGGAGCATTATCATTAGCGTCTAAAACTGTGATGTGGATCTGCATTGTTCCCGTCATCTGCGGTTCGCCTCCATCTACCGCTGTCAAAATCAAAGCCAACTCTGCATTTTTCTCCCTGTCAAGTGGAGCATTTAACATCATTTCGACATTTTCACTACCATCTCCTTGATTATTTATTCTAAGAGAAAACATATCTGTTGGTTTGAGGACATATGTTTTTAAACTATTTTCGCCCACGTCGAGATCGGTCGCTCTATCTAAAGTGAATGTAGTCCCACTAAGCACCGATTCGCTTATATTAAAATGAACATCGTTTGTAAGAAAGGTCGGAGGGTTATCATTTATATCTGTGATTTCAACTGTGATACTGTAGAATTCCATGGGGTTTTCCAACAAAATCTGAAAATGCAAAGCGCAGGGCGTCATTTGTCCACAAAGCCCCTCTCGGTCGATCCTTTCTTTAAGCAGCAGAATTCCTTTTTCTCTGTTTAACTCGACGTACACAATGCTGTCTCGAGTAAAAACACGAGCCTTGCCGGATTTCAGTCTTGTGACATCTAAACCTAAATCCTGAGCTATGTTACCAACGAAGGAACCTATCGGCATTTCTTCAGGAATGGAGTAGCTGACCTGTCCAAGGACTGTGCTGAAGGAGAGAACCGAGATAAACAACAGTACTTGCCGTTTCATTGTTATGTCCGACCTCGCCTTGGCTCTGAGTCGTTCTGTAAACCTTTTAATCCCCTTTTAAATGTATCATAAATCCACTGTCAAAACAGGGTCTTGAAAATCTTCCAAGAGTAGTTCAAAAGTGACCGTCCAATGTCTTGGTATTTAATTTCTGTTGGATCATCCGCATCAGTGCTTTCTTGCATCTCTCCGTCTTTCTTCTGTCTCTAATATACAGAGATGATGGGAGGTACTACATCTGGTGTAAGACTGATACATACTAGTCAACAGCGTCTCTCTGAGTTCGAGGTCGAAACTACAAGAGAAATGCTCATACAATCTTAAGAGAAGTAATGTTTAGATTGAGCTAAATCATCTGAAACACCGATGCTGGTACAACAAAGTAAAAGTGAGACAATCTATTTACATTAGCCTACAGAGAAAAAGGCTGAGCGCGTTTTTGTGAGGGCAAGGAGTGATACAATCTAAACTCCTGGTAATGAAACGTAAAAATCATAGGAAGGGTGACATGAGAAGGCTAAATTAAGGCACATTAATAAGATTTAAATTCCTCAAAAAATCTGGTTCACTGGAAAACAATGTCTCTGTCCATGGTGCTGATAGAAAATTCAAAGGGTGTCCTAATTTTTTTCACAAGACTGTAAACTTCTCTTCCCTGGTACTGAAATGTAAAAATGATAGGAAGGGTGACACCAGAAGGCTAAATTAAGGCACATTAAACTAAACTCCTGGTAATGAAACGTAAAAATCATAGGAAGGGTGACATCAGAAGGCTAAATTAAGGCACATTAATAAGATTTAAGTTTTTCAAACAATCTGTTTTCACTGCATAACAATATCTCTGTCCATGGTGCTGATGGAAAACTCCTGAACAGCGACTGTTTATAACTTGATAAATTATATATGAACACACATATAGAACACATTTACAACCCTATTTAACTAACCTCTAGAGGAGAGTCAGGTTCATCCAGGATGCTCTTCTCACCCTGTATCCGCTGCATCGTCCCTGTAGAACTGGGGTCCATTATCAACACGTTCTGACTACCAGCTCCACCAAACTTACAGTCACTCTTCCTGGAGTCAGTCGTCCTACACACCTCGTAGTTGTACACGTGTTGGAGAGTCCCTGTCCCCAAAGTGTCTGAGTAACGTGGTGGATAATATGGAATCACAGGGAGATTGGAGTGATACAGGATGCGAGACTGTCTCCACCTGTAGATCTTCACTGATATAATAACCACTAAACAGGTGATGAAGAGGAAGGAAACTACAGCCAGAGCCAGCACTAAGTAAAAAGTCAGGTTGTCATTGTACTCCTTGTCGTGTGGAAAGTCAGTGAACTCCGACAGCACTTCAGGGAAGCTGTCCGCCACCGCCACGTTAACAATGACTGTAGCTGAACGAGAGGGCTGCCCGTTGTCCTCCACTATAACAGTCAGTCTCTGTTTCACTGTGTCTTTATCAGTCACCTGGCGGATAGTTCTGATTTCTCCATTCTGTAAGCCCACTTCAAACAGCGCCCTGTCTGTGGCTTTCTGCAGTTTATAGGAGAGCCAGGCATTCTGTCCAGAGTCCACATCAACAGCCACCACTTTAGTGACCAGATAGCCCACATCTGCTGAACGAGGCACCATTTCAGCCACCACAGAGCCTCCAGTCTGGACTGGGTACAGGACCTGAGGGGGGTTGTCGTTCTGGTCCTGGATCAGTATTTTCACTGTCACATTACTACTGAGAGGAGGAGAGCCTCCATCCTGAGCTTTGACACGGAAGTGGAAATCTTTGATCTGCTCGTAGTCAAAAGAGCGCACTGCATGGATGACTCCACTATCAGCACTAACGGACACATATGAGGAGACTGGCACTCCGTTAACAGAGGAGTCCTCCAGTATGTAAGAAACACGGGCATTCTGGTTCCAGTCAGCGTCTCTGGCTTTCACTGTGAATATGGAGAGACCTGGAGTGTTGTTTTCTACAATGTAGGCCTCATATGAGCTCCTCTCAAAGACAGGAGCGTTGTCATTGACATCAGAGATCTGTAAGGTGAGAGTGACGCTGCTGGAGAGGGAGGGCACTCCCTCATCAGAGCAGGTCACTGTGATGTTATACTCTGAGGCTCTCTCTCTGTCTAATTCACTGTCTGTCACTAGGCTATAAAAATTATTTGACGTCGATTTCATCAAAAACGGAATATTGTCACTTATATAACACTGAACTTTACCATTCTGGCCTGAATCGGGGTCTTGTATATTAATCATTGTAACGACTGTGTTGGGTTTTGCACTCTCTGATATAATAGTTGATTTAGACATGATTTTAATCGCTGGCTCATTGTCATTTATATCAACAACATCGACTATCACTTTACAAGAATCCGTTAGTCCTCCATTATCCCTTGCACGTACATTGATCTGAAAATGTTTTCTCTTTTCATAATCCAAACGTCCAATTAATTTAACCTCACCATTGTCCTCGTTTACCTCAAACATGTCCCTGACATCGTCTAAAGTATTTGTGATTGAATATGTTATTTTACCATTTAAAGAATGGTCAGCATCTGAAGCACTAACAGTAGTCACAACCGTGCCTTTTGCAGAATTTTCATCTATAGTACCTTTGTATATGGGCTGTGTAAAAACAGGTGCGTTGTCATTAGCATCTAGCACTGTGATGAGGATCTGCATTGTTCCCGACATCTGTGGTTCTCCTCCATCTACAGCCGTCAGCACCAAAGAAATAACCTCATTTTTCTCTCTGTCCAGGGGTTTTTGTAAAACCATTTCAACATTCTTTGCACCATCCGCTTGGGAGTGAAGTTTAAGTAAAAAATTATCAGTTGGTTTAAGTATGTAACTTTGAAGGCTGTTCGAACCTACATCCAAATCCACTGCTCTTTCTAAATCAAATTTTGCCCCAACAACTGCAGACTCGCTAATTATGAACTTTATTTCATTTTTTTCAAAGGTTGGTGCATTATCGTTAATATCTGTAATTTCAACTGTTACAGTGTAAAACTCCATAGGATTCTCTAACACAATCTGACAATGCACAGCGCACGGAGTAGTATCGCCGCACAACGCCTCCCTGTCTATTCTCTCTTTGATAAGGAGGACTCCTCTATCGCTGCTCAGCTCGATGTATTCTCTGCTATCACCGGAATAAACACGAGCGTTGCCCATCTTCAGACGTTTAACGTCTAATCCTAAATCCTGAGCTATATTACCGACCAAAGATCCTTTAACCATTTCCTCTGGAACAGAGTAAGAGACCTGTCCGAAAACAGAACTAAGAGAAACCATCAAAATAAACAGCGGTACTTGCCGTGTCATTGTTTCAAATTGTCTCGGTAAAAAGAAACAGCAACCTCGAAAATCCACCAGAACGACGCTCCAGGCATTAAAACAAAATGTAAACTAAAAACAGTGCTCAAGTTCTGACCAAAAAAAGTGATAATCCTGCTTCGTGCTCTTTATGACCCGCTCTATCGAAGACAATGCGTCCAGCTCCTGCCCTTCCCTTTTAATACATCGAAATCAAGAGGAGGTACTGCTGTAAATATATTACTACTGCATCAGACTAGGCAACAGCGGCCCATTGAGTTCAGAATACAAAACTGCAATAAATGTGTTGTTGGATGAGAAAGGAGGAAAAGCTCAGAAAAAAAGCACATAAAGGATGAAATTAAAACGTAACACTGTGTAGACACAAATTTCAAAGATCTAAAATAAACCCTTTTCTTTTTCAAACATTATTCACAAAACCTCTAACACAAAATGAGGGGAAAACACTGAACCCTTTCAGTCACCGTGATTAACTAAACACATATAAATGTCCCATGTTGGATCATAAGGTGCTAAAAAAGCCCCTAAACACACAAGGTTGTTCTTCTGCTGTCCAAGGTACTGAAACGGTGTGAGCTCTAAATGACATCAACGAAATGGTAAAATAATAGATTATGTTTGATTATCAGAATGGTAACATTCTAACCTCTAGAGGAGAGTCAGGTTCATCCAGGATGCTCTTCTCTCCCTGTACCCGCTGCATCGTCCCTGTAGAACTGGGGTCCATTATCAACACGTTCTGACTACCAGCTCCACCAAACTTACAGTCACTCTTCCTGGAGTCAGTCGTCCTACACACCTCGTAGTTGTACACGTGTTGGAGAGTCCCTGTCCCCAAAGTGTCTGAGTAACGTGGTGGATAATATGGAATCACAGGGAGATTGGAGTGATACAGGATGCGAGACTGTCTCCACCTGTAGATCTTCACTGATATAATAACCACTAAACAGGTGATGAAGAGGAAGGAAACTACAGCCAGAGCCAGCACTAAGTAAAAAGTCAGGTTGTCATTGTACTCCTTGTCGTGTGGAAAGTCAGTGAACTCCGACAGCACTTCAGGGAAGCTGTCCGCCACCGCCACGTTAACAATGACTGTAGCTGAACGAGAGGGCTGCCCGTTGTCCTCCACTATAACAGTCAGTCTCTGTTTCACTGTGTCTTTATCAGTCACCTGGCGGATAGTTCTGATTTCTCCATTCTGTAAGCCCACTTCAAACAGCGCCCTGTCTGTGGCTTTCTGCAGTTTATAGGAGAGCCAGGCATTCTGTCCAGAGTCCACATCAACAGCCACCACTTTAGTGACCAGATAGCCCACATCTGCTGAACGAGGCACCATTTCAGCCACCACAGAGCCTCCAGTCTGGACTGGGTACAGGACCTGAGGGGGGTTGTCGTTCTGGTCCTGGATCAGTATTTTCACAGTCACATTACTACTGAGTGGAGGAGAGCCTCCATCCTGAGCTTTGACGCGGAAGTGGAAATCTTTGATCTGCTCGTAGTCAAAAGAGCGCACTGCATGGATGACTCCACTATCAGCACTAACGGACACATATGAGGAGACTGGCACTCCGTTAACAGAGGAGTCCTCCAGTATGTAAGAAACACGGGCATTCTGGTTCCAGTCAGCGTCTCTGGCTTTCACTGTGAATATGGAGAGACCTGGAGTGTTGTTTTCTACAATGTAGGCCTCATATGAGCTCCTCTCAAAGACAGGAGCGTTGTCATTGACATCAGAGATCTGTAAGGTGAGAGTGACGCTGCTGGAGAGGGAGGGCACTCCCTCATCAGAGCAGGTCACTGTGATGTTATACTCTGAGGCTCTCTCTCTGTCTAATTCACTGTCTGTCACTAGGCTATAAAAATTACTGGATGTAGATGTAATTGTAAACGGTATATTCTTATTAATCAAACACCGGACTTTTCCATTCTCGTCAGAATCAGGATCATTTACACTCATCACAGCTACTACCGTGTTGGAACGGGAATCCTCTCCGACTGAATGTGATGATGAAATCATATTTATAATAGGACTGTTATCATTAATGTCACCTACATCAATGATCACTTTGCTTGAATCAGAGAGCCCTCCTTGGTCAACCGCCTCTATATCAATTTCATACTTTTTTGCCTTTTCATAATCAATAGGCCCATTTAATATAAGATGCCCATCTTCAGTAATGTCGAATAATTTTGAAATGCTTCTCATGTTGTTTCCAATGACGTAGCTAACCTCTCCATTTGATCCTTTGTCTGCATCGGAGGCACTCACTTTGGTAATGATTGTTCCCTTGAGCGAGTTTTCTTTCACGCTTGCTTTGTAAACGTTTTGTGTAAAGACAGGAGCGTTATCATTAACGTCTAATACTGTAATATGGATTTGCATAGTACCAGACCTCTGCGGCTCCCCTCCATCTACAGCCGTTAACAATAACGATACAAACTCTTGTTTTTCTCTGTCCAGAGGTTTCTGTAAAATCATTTCTACCTTTTTACCCCCGTCATATTGACTATGTAATTTAAGAACAAAATTATCACTGGGCTTCAGTGTGTAGCTCTGAAGACCATTTAGTTCTATATCAGGATCTATCGCTTTCTCTAGCATGAACTTCGAGCCGATGACTGCTGACTCACTGATTTCAAATCTCCTCTCTTCCTTTTCGAATACTGGAGCATTGTCATTAATGTCTGAGATTTCGACAGTAATCGGAAATATTTCTATTGGGCTTTCTAAGGCAATCTGAAAGTGCAAAGCGCAAGGCGTTGTCTGGCCACAAAGAGCTTCGCGGTCTAATCTGTCTTTGATAATGAGGACTCCTTTTTCCTTGTTGAGCTGAATGTATTCTGCACTGTCCCCTGTGTGAATACGAGCTTTACCCGCTTGTAGTCGTTTAACATCCAAACCTAAATCCTGAGCAATGTTACCGACTAAGGAGCCTTTGGCCATTTCCTCGGGAATAGAGTAGCTGGCCTGCCCATGCACTGAGCTGAGACAGACAGCCGAGAGAAACAACACTACTTGCCGTCTCATTGTTCTATCCTGCAGCTCTGTCGATTCAAACGATGTGTTTTTCTTCATTTTGATGGCAACGTTAATGTATTAAATCCAAACCACAAACGGGTAGGTATAATAAAAAACGGACGTTAAAATTATTCCAGGGTTATATTCCGTGCATGGTTTTTCATCCACCGTCGACTGTGTGGTATGTCTCCGAGTTCTTCTCCATTGTGAGAGGACGGGGGATGTCCAAGTATAAATATGATTTTGAACGTCAAGACACTGGTCAACAGCGGCCCAGTGAGTTCAGAACACGAAACTACAAGAATTAAAGAAACATAATATTACCACTGGTGTTGCCTGTATGGTCGCTAAATGAACGATCACAGAGCAAACACTATTGGCGCTGTATTACTGAACAGGCAAAAGGATTTTAAGTATATACCACGAAAAATCAAAACAAGCTCTGACAAAATACAAAAGCACAAATCTAGAGTGTGTACGAAGGATAAAACATGTTGATGTTACACGTAAAAAAGGGTGAGAGAATCAAGAAAGAGAGAGAGAAAGAGAATCTAGAGAGAGCTTTTATATCGCTGTCCGTGGTACTGAAATAGTAGTAAATGACATCACTGAAAACCAAAACAAAAGTCTGAGTTTAAATAATAGAATTATATATTCTAACCTCCAGAGGAGAGTCTGGTTCATCCAGGATGCTCTTCTCACCCTGTACCCGCTGCATCGTCCCTGTAGAACTGGGGTCCATTATCAACACGTTCTGACTACCAGCTCCACCAAACTTACAGTCACTCTTCCTGGAGTCAGTCGTCCT